CGAAGAACGCGCGGGAGACGGTGGCGTTAGGCGTTGGGAAACCTGCCGTGTTGGCGGTTGTTGGTGTGCCGCACGGATGCCTTGGGTTTGGCCGTTTCAGTAGAGGTGATTTTTCTGGGGGAGTTAAGTAACCGGCTTAATCGTGGGCAGAGAAAAGAGATGAAACACTAAAGGATGTAATGCGAGCATGTTATCTTCATAATATACGTGTATTCATAATTAATTTTGACAGGTACTCATTGCCACAGCAAGGTGAAATCCATTTTCCTAGGTAGCATCCAGTTAGGACTTTTGGCGATCACATTATTAGCTGCCAAGGCGTTTCATCTGCAGAGATTGTAAGCTGTGAATGGTCCTGTGTAAGTCTGAGTCCTTTTTTTCTTCTGTCGATTTAGGAAGAAGGCATATGACAGTTTTAAAAAATATTTTTACTTGTTTCCTTTGCACTTTGGAAGTCCCAGGAATGATTATTCTGGTCTTTCCTGCCTGCTTTGGTGGACGACAGGGTGGCATTAAGAAAGTGTATTTTGAACTTAAGGTGTCTTCTTTTGACCCTAAAGGAAGGGATAAGAGAGAACGCTGAAAGTTTAACAAAAGCTTGCTCAAAATATTAGCTGAAGGTAAACAGTTACAAACAAGCAGACAAAGTAGTCAAACACCCTAAAAACAGTCCTCTTCCTTTCTTAAAGGCCTACGCTTCACTGCCATGCCTCCTGTGGTTTATCCTGCCTCCTAGTTTTTGCTCCTCCCACTCCAAATTTAATAGGGTGTTTTCAGTATGATTAGAAGACCAGTTTTTGAGGATGAACTTCTAGCTGTCTAATTTTGCAGGCTGGAGAGCATGCCGGGTTTGAATGTACAAAAGACAAGATGAAGAAAGGCAAAAGAGGAAACAAACAAAAAGCACTCTATAGTTGTCTCTACCTTGTAAATAAATGAAAAATGTCATCATCTGCCAGAAGGTTTTCTTCTAGAAAGCTAGCTCAGATTAAAAAGCTGTGAAGAATTCTATAATTCTGTGCTATTCTAGTAGTAAGTGCTATAAACGTACAGGTGATTTTAAGGTCAAAACCGAGGCTCAGTTTTAAAAAGGCTAGGTATCTTGGACAAATAAGACTTATATTTGCATGTGTAGACATGAAGTGGGTAGTAAATCTCGTGCTTCAGGCCGTAAACTGATTACATGAGGAAAGAACTTTTCCCGCAGCATTGCATAACTGGCAGTGTTTTGCTTTCCTCTGAAGAACTCTGTTATCTTCTGTTTGGTGGGGGGGGAGGGAGAAGCAGAGAAAGAGAACAGGCTCTTGTGTTTGACCAACAGACTGCATGGTTTGCAGGCCTGTAGGGACCTCAGTGCTGGAAATTAGTGCCTTGAATTCCTTTCTCTGCTTCATGCAGCCTCTGTATGTGACTTTTCACTGCTTGAAAGGGACTGTGTGATACTTGTATGGGTGCCAAGTTTTCATTCATCAATGCCGAGAAATGATCTAGGACCTTAGATGGATGTGCTAGCAAAACTGCCTGCTAAGATGCCTCTTCCAAGGCTAACCTTGCTTTCCCACAGCTCTAGCTGCAGGTGCTTTTTTCACCAGAATCCAAGCAGTGTAGAATCATGTTGCTACTGCAGAAGCATGTTGCTACTAGAGGGTGCTGGCAGACCTGGGTGGCCTTTCCTAACTGGAAAGGTGGGAGTGTGGCCCAAATAGTCTGCATCTATGTAGCCCAGGTCTATCTCAGATCTAGAACAGACTTGCCGTGTTTGTCCTGGATGAGAATGGAGGTGTGTTAGTTCAAGAATGGTATAGGATGAACATGACTGACTAATTTCCACGCTGAAGTTAGTAAACCTGCATGCCAGTGTCCCAGAGATGTAATAGCTGGCTACTATTACTTAGAGGATCTCCATACCGTACGCTGTTTGGCAGCTCAGATGTGGCCAGAGTTTCTATGGTGCTTAATATATCCAGTAGTAGCTGGAATCTGTTTAGTGTTCAGGCATGCATCATCTTTGAGAGAACAGGAGAAAGACGACTTTTTACAGTGGAAGTTGGTCTGATGAAATCTTTAAAAGTTATTGAAAGAAGGAGCAGAAGGTCTCAGGAAGTCTTTGTGCGACATGGGCTTTTCAGCAGCAGCCAGGAATTCAGAAAAGGAGGAGGCTGGGCAGTGACTTCTCATTTCTCCAAGTGAGGTTGTGAAGCTGAGCTTGAAAGGTCTTCTGTCAGATTTGCAAATCATTACAAGAAGCATCTGTGGATATGAAAGAATACAGAGGAATTATGTTTCTTGTTATTCCATCTCTAATTCTTTGGGGAAGCAGGAGTGGTGGATTATTTCATCACTCTTCAGAATTCAGAATGGGCGTGGTGTCTGAATGTCCTTTTAAAATGCAGCTCCCAATGACTGATTTCTCTAACTATATTAAGCTACTTGGTGTGAACAGAATCAGGTTCTGCCTTCAGCAGCGATACCAATGTATAATATATCTTCTTCTGTACTGCAGTCTGGGTTGCACAGATACAAGCGTTTGTGTAGCTGTTTTGTGAGCTGCAGGACAATCCGGCTGAAAAGATCTCTGGCAAAAAAAGTGAAAGGGAGGCACAGAGAGAGATTTCCCCACTTCACTGCCCATTTCCCTGACCCTCTTTACAGATATGGTCCCTCAGCCACAGTTGCGGGAGTAGAATAGTATGGCATGAGCTAATGCTAAGAAACTGTTTGTGTATCATAGCCTTTCCTCAGTAATGATAATATCTGGTATCTAGACGTTTGGGCAGAGGTCACCCATGCCGTACCAACAGGGGCAGTACAGTATGGCTTGCTACATGCTGCGCTAATAAATTAGTGGCAGATGGAACCATAATGTAGGGCGTGAGAGCGAATAGGCGGAGACCCTGGTTGTTGGATTTCAGCACTGTCCTTCCAGTTACTTTCCCTTTCCAACTGTACAGGTCTGCTCTTGGGTATATCTTTCAAAGGCATCTTAAAGAGGCAGTTAGATCTAAAACTGTTCTCTACCAGTTGCCAAATGCTGCTCTGTTGACTTATACTCATCAGTCTGCGGCCACCCAGATAACAGTGGAAAATTAACTTATTTATGATCACTTGGTAGTGTACCACATATATAAATGGTGCAGAATGGTCTTTAATGTGGTAACACCTCAGGTTGGTAGGTCCTGCGGGAACTCATTTGGTGATGGGCACTGACAAGGAATCTGCTGGAAACAGGGGCAAGAAACAGGTTGGAGTAAAAGCATGAGGGGGTACTTGGAGAATGGAAACACAAAGATGTTTCTGGGCGTAGAAGGTGTCGTGGAATGCACAGCTGATGAGATGAGCAGAGCTGC